TTTTAGGCATACATTTATTTGGGATAACCTGCCAGTCTGGACTGGATCGTCAATATTCTATATGCTTTTAGGAGAAGACTGCGCCTTTAACTTGAAACAGACAAGATTACTTGTCAGTGTTCTTATCCTTCCCGAGTGGCTTTCTCCTTAACAATGAAATAAGACCATTGGGAATTTAGGTCGCTGCCGCCAAATCATCTTTTCTGATCACATTTTGCTCTCCATGTGTGGCCCCACTTTCTACGACATATGAGCAGAATTTCCGATTTTTTAAGTCCAAGCAAAGTGTCCTTCACAAAACTCGTTGTTCTCTCTAACCAACCTCTCAGGGGAATAATCAGGGACATATAGATGCGCACGCTCTAAGACGTCTCGTCCCACTTGCAGCGAGGCTTCAAGACTGAGAAAGGGATTCAAACTGGACATACTGTAAAAGTATTCAAAACATCCGAAAATTTTACATGGCTATATACGAAGTACTAAAAGAGCTCAGGAACTCACCGCTTCTCTTAGGTCTGCAGACAGAAAACTGGTGATTGATGACCAGGTTAAAACGTTCCTCCTTTCTAATTTCTTTTAGTCCGTCTTCATCCGAGAACCTAGCTCTTTTTTGTCTTTCTATCCGTTCGCCAACCAAAGTCTCCTCCTACTCCCCTCCCCTCTCTTACCCTCTCCCTACTCTTCTTAACTAAGAATCCACTCTACTCATTGACCATAGTTACAGCCGAATTACTCCGGCTAAAACCCGCCAGATCACCTGGCCCAGGTAGAATTTCCGTACTAGCACTGCCGGAGTTCGCTAATGAACTGTACAGATCACTGTTTGCAATATTTCAAAGGACATTTGAAGAAGACGAGCTCCCGCACGAATAGAAGTGCACATTCATCACCCAGATTCATCAAGGAGGTTAACAGCTTGACTGCGGAAATTATCGTCCCGTCAGTCTTACTTGCATTGCGTGTAGAATAATAAAGCGCATTATCAAAAGACATTTGATGCAATATCTGGAAAAACAAAATGCTATGTGATGCCCAACACAGATTTCGTTCAGGTTGTTCTTGTCTAACGCGTTTTCTCTACTTGCACGAGAAATGGACAAGGGCTACATATAAAGGCTATGCAGTATATGTCATATTTTGAATCCAGGAAGGCCTCTGACAGTGTCCTACACAGGCTTTTCTACAGCAGATCTGGAATGCAAAATTCAAGGAAGACCGTTTAAATGGATCAGGAATTTTCTGTCAGCCGGAGTACAAGGAGTCGTTGTTGGCAAATCTACACCGTAAAGAGCAAAGGTGCAATTTGTTGTTCCACAGGGTTCTGCTTTAGACCCACTACTCTTTCTGATCGACCAAGTAGATTTTGAGGCTCTCATGTTCGCGGTTGGCATGAAAATATGGAATGAAGTCAAGTGCGATGATGACGCAAAGAAGTTGAGATTGGACATCGACAAACTGAGTGTTTGGTCAAACAGATGGCTTTTAAAGTGTAATGTGTTCAGGTGCGTGGTCTTACATCTAAACGCCAACCAAAATGCCTCCCTCAAGCATCAGTGCTTTATTTACGGGATGGCCTTAGAAACTGTAGAAGGACACAGAAATCTGGGTGTATGGACGGCCACAACTCTCTTGCCGTCAGAACACGGTAGAAGGATGGTCCAGAAGGCAAATAGTACTTTACACTGGACCAGACGGACATTTAAAATATTTCCTCCCGAACTTTTTCAAGATTTTTCGATGTCTTTGCAAAAGCCCACCTGGAATATAGAATGCCAAGAACTTCACCATGTATGAAGAAGGATACTGACCTACTCGAACCAGTGCAACGCAGAGCAACGCTGGTTTTCGATAGCCTAAAGCATTCATCTTACCAGGAGAGGCTGAATGTGCTTCGCTTATTCTCTCTATCCTATAGGCCATTAAACTGTAGTCTTCTATAGACATCCCGGATTGTCCGTGGCCAAGGTTCTTAACCGGGAACTGAGGACTTTTTGAGTTTACCAGTACAAACCATACTGACTCGCGGTGAACAGATGCACTCCCTTATTATTACTGTTGTATTGTGAACCGGTGACATTCTAACAGTTTGCAACTTTATTTTGAGTAGAAATATGCGAGTTCATTGTAAATAAATAGGGCAATCAAGAGCTCTGGCTCTAACGATTCAAAGACAAATACAGATACAAAGAACCCTCGCCAGGATTTTGTCCTGGCAACTGGAATGTCGAGGTCTCACCCCGGCTGTCCGTCTTACTCTGGGCCTGTCACAATTTTCCACTCTAAAAGAACGATAAAGACGCTTCTCTCTCATTTGCTGATTTGTCCTTAGAGTTTCCTCCCACCTTCAGGAAGAACTTACCTCACTACTCCATATCCCCCTACGAATTAACTTTTCTCCCGAAATTTTTCTGAAATTTGATTTGCTTTGAAATATTTCGTCACTGTTGATTTCAGGAGCTTTTTTCCACCACTTCCTTTGTGACATGCAATTTTCCCTAAAATAACTTGCATTTTGGCATTTGTATAGATTGTTTTTGCCACAGGTATCGTGTGAGAAATGACAAATCGCCTGCGATCGTGAAAAACGGTTCTTTCTGACATAAAAATTCCTAAATTCTAATGTAAATCTGACCGTTGACGCAGATCATTACTGTCCACACTGTCCGCATTTTGCTAACTGACTCACTGTTGAATTTCAATAGACAGCGTCCCTAGATACTCAAAAATAAGACTAATATCGTTACAAATCACAGCAAACCACCGAATCCACAGTTAACTGTAAGACCTCACATGTGCTTGCACGTAGGCAATCTTCAACGCGGATTATATCAAAGGGGCCTTATCGATTGCGTCATCTGACTTTACAAGAAACCGAAGAAAACACTGATTCAAGCAAGGTGGCTAGGGTGAGCAGGCGTTCCTCAGTTAATGTCCGCGCTAAAGAGATTGACCTAGTTACCTCTATGTCAAATGGCAAATACAGCGTGTGCAAACCAGAGCAAAGTGATGTGTGTAATTTTTTGTGGAAATTTCTGTAAGAGTAGGAGGACTGGTTGCTGAGTTCTCATATTGTATTAAGCAGTTTTGTCGACGTAATGTCCTGAGGGGTCAACCAGGGTTAATTTCGAGTCTAGGTTTCTGTTGCGACGTTGTCCCATGTCCCCTTACCAATAATTCCACTCCTCGCATTCAGCTAAACGTTCTAAAGAGTACTCGGAGTAGATGAGAGAGCATGAGATGCAAGCAAGCTAGCTCCTGTAATGTTTATTAACTACGACTAGAATGTTTTTTTCGCCTCTTATGCTGTCTAACGCGGAAATCCGAACAGCCTTTATCAGAGGATTCGGTAAAATTATCCTTCTGTTACTAACACCCGCATCTGCACTTACTGGGTCGATACCCGTACCTTGAGCTGCTCCCGAGACGATATTATTTTGGACTTTTTCCCTTTTTGACTTTAAAACTGATGACCTCTTTTCGACTACCGGTGCCCAGCCGCGTGGGCGTCTTTAGATATGCAAGATCATTTCCTAGTTTTTCTGATTTTGAGGAAACTACATGAACATCCTACGGAAGTTCAACCCTCATAAACCACAAACTTTGCGACAACTATGTTTTTGGCGCGCAATGTCGACCTTTGACTGTGGGCTTAACGAGGAAGCCCCAGCCCTGTGTTCGACTGTTAAATCAGTAGGTCTTCCCGCCGAAGTGCTGATGCTGGCCGTGTTACTGCCGCAAAACCGCTGAGAGCCCATATACGTTAGGATATGAACGTAAAAATATATTAGTTTTTTAGATTATAACAAATACTTAGGACTGTGTGTGGTGAAGTTTGATGAGTATATTTGAAATTTAGTGGGCCACCAATTTCCCTAATAACTCAAAGTTACTTAAAAGTGGGAGTTTTTTTACAGCAGTTCGACCGTCGATTCCGACGATGTCCACCGTGCGCTACACAACAAGGCGCATCAGGCATGGCAACCTGCGCTTGAATTAGTTTATAGTGATAGTAAACCTGCGCAGCATCTACCACACTCTCTCCTCCTTTCCATGGACCCGGTGTCAAGACAGGGTCAGGGAGACCGGAGGCGGGGAAGGGCGCAGGTGGCTGGCACAGCCGGACCCGCATCCAGGCGTGCCAACACACCCCCTGGTCCACAACATACAACTGACCAGGATTTTTCACCAATAATAACATCCCACAGAAGGACGAGGATGACTGGGTAGCCATGTCTACCACCGATATGCCCGGTGGAATCGCAAGCTCATTTACCGGCAGGGAACCAGGTCTCAGGAAATTTCCAGCCAGAAATTGCCAGTCTCAGAAATTGCAAGGGCCATGGTTTGCTGATTCTGGTGAAGCACTCGCTTTTAAACCCTTTGACCTAGAAGGACGACACGTGGCCCTGTATTTAGCCTGAGCCGTCGACCTTCAAAATCGGGTAACCAAGCAGTCATCGATTGAGAGGCACCACCCATAAAGCATACACAGACATACACAAAAACACTCCTTACTGCATGAGAGTGCCCCAGCTTACTTGAGGATGGCCGTGACAGACTGGATCTCAACCCACCAGGCCGACCACTCCACACAACACACACCAAAACTGGACAGACTGCATGAACTGAATTAGGGTGTCAATCGACTGCCTTCCGAACCACGGCGCTCGATGCACCACCTTCGTTTCAGACTCCGATCACACATGAAGCAGGGGAGTCGCATGGAGGAGGGGCGGAGGCGCACACTACCCACTTGCGTGAGAGGTGGCAGTTGGGTGCTTGCGCTGGGTGTTGATGTGCGATAAGATGATAGCGAGGGAGGGTGTGGGGTGTGGTTTAGCCGGCGGTTGTCTACCGCAGATTTCCGTGGACGCGCATGTGGCCTAATAGACCCATGTGGGGAATGAATGTGCGAGAGCAATGTGGACAGTGAAGGCGGATGCGCCAAGTGCAGTTTAGTGCTCCAGGCACTGTTCCGCCGTTCTCTGTATGGTGGATTCTTAATTGACCGACCAGGCCGATGTGTGGGGTGAAGGTGCGATCGCAATTAGGACAGGCGGTGGTGGTGTTGCTGTTTGTTTGTGTGTCGGGATTGTGTGCATAATGTTGATAGGCATGGCAGACGCCACAGCACCAGACTTTGGGACAACGGCGGAGGAGGAGGATGGCAGTGGTGGTTCGGGAGGACAATCAACGTTAGTTGACGACGTGGGAAGCGAGGGTGAGGTGGACATAAAGACGGCGGTTGGTGCAGTCCGGGTACTGCAGTTGGTTCAGAGGTGTCCAAGAAGTCCAATTGGAGCCCGGAATGTCCGTCGACATCATGCACACGTTGAGGACGGTTGGGTCTTGGCGGTGTGGTGTGGGCGCAGTTGAGATTTGCGAGCCTCCCCTTTGGGTTTGGCAGCGATTATGCGGTTGGTTTCGTATATCGCTGCGCCTGTATTCACCGTTTTCCTCCACGTAGGTCGGTCACGGTCGAGGTCTTCCCAGTTGGCCGGGTCAATCTGTAAACGCTTCATGAAGGTCTTCAGAGTGTCACTGTAGCGACGGATCAGGCCTCCGTGGAGGCAGGAACCTGTCGCGACATCTCCGTAGAAGAGACGTTTGGGTAGCCGCTCGTTGGTCATCCACGAGGTAGCCACTCCAATGCAGTTGCAGTTGTTTCAGTGTGGCCTAGTTGCTGGGGGTTCGTGTCGGGGATGCGTACCTGCCATATCAGCTTCAGTATGCATCGAAGACACATGAGGTAGAATTGACTGAGTCTCCGCGCTTGCATCTTGTACACCGTCCAGATCTCCGCCTCATACAGCAGCGTCGACAGGATTACTGCTCTGTACATCTTTAGTTTGATGTTGAGATGGAGACCGTGACGGTTCCACGCTGTGTTTTACAGACGGCCGAAGACTTTTCTGGCTTTGGAAATCCGGCTAGGAACCTCATCGTCGACTTTGGTGTTAGGGGGGAGCGTGTTACCAGGTAGGTGAAGATGTCCACGACTTCCAGTTAGCCGTCGTTCACGTTGATTTTGGGTGCGACGTAGACAGCTCCGGGTGGTGATTGATGCATAACCACCGTCTTCTTCGTGTTGATGGTCAGGCCGAATTTGTCACAGGTGGCAGCGAAGAGACCCATGCCCCTTTGCATTTCCCCTCCGGAGGTACGTTTAGAGCGCAGTCGTCGGCGAAGAGAAGTTCATGAGTGGTGATCGTGGATACACGCGACTGAAAGTGCATTCACCGCTGATCGAGGAGGCGATGCGTATCCCAGGACGTTCGTCATGGTAGACGTCCATCAGGATTGCAGAGAATATGAGACTGAAGGGGGGAGGCGCGAGGACGCAGTCCTGCTTCACTCCGTTGGTCACTGCGAATGCCTCTGTGACAGCTCCATTGTCCGTGTCTCGTGCCATCATGTCAACGTGCAGCTGACGCCCCATCAGAGTGAATCGTTGGGGCAGCCGAATTTCTGCATAATTTTCCATAATCCGTCACGATTCACCGTGTCTTTGGTGGACAGCCATAATGGCAACATCGCGCCTCTCGCTATCGCCTGCACCTACACCCTAGCGACAGCCTGCTATGGCACTCACGTCTGCCCGGTTTCCATTTGTCTCGTTGCAATTCACTGTCTGCACAACGCATCTGGTCGATTCTTTGACTGCATCATTTGAGGCTTGTCACTAACCTCGCGTGGGCTCGGAGCCAATCAACGCAACTTCACTCGCTGATTGGTAACGCAGGCGGGCACTGTCTAGACCCTAGCGTAAACAATCTGCCACGGCACTTTTTACAGCGGCGACCTTCGGCGACACACCGCTCGTCTCTCTCGCGGACGCCGTCTCCGCGGCGCCGGGCGCACCCTCGTCCGGTTGCCAACTTTCCTATCCTTATGTACAGAATAAAATCTTCTACCCAACTGGCGTCCCGCCTCTAACAACTTGGGGTATGGCTTGAAACTGTGACGCATTGGGCATACACCATCACCACTTAGCCGCTATATGTTAAAGGCTTTCGTCAGATCCACGTAGGTAGAGTACAGATGAGTCAACATGTCCTGACACTTATCCTGCAGTTGGCGAGTAGCAAAGATCATGTCGATGATTCCAACATGACGGCAAAAATCGCACTGGCTTTTTAGCAGGAGATCTTGTTCCATCTGGTTGTTCAGGCTGTTCAGACGAATGTGAGTGAAAATATTCCCGGCGATGTTCAGCAGGGAGATGCCTCGGTGGTTGTCGCAGATTTGCAATTCCCTTCCAGCTTGTAGAAGTGGACGATTGTGGCATCCTTGACATCATGCAGAACTTCCCCTTGACACCACATCTCCGGGAAGGACGCCGTCAGATGATCTACGAGTTGGGACCCACCGCGCTGTGGATCTCAACAGGGATCTCGACCGATCCGGGCACTTTCCCGCTGGAGAGCTGCTGCATGACCTTGATGGTTTCGTGGAGACGGGGCAGGAGTTCGAGGTCGGCGTTGGTCTCCAATTGAGGCAGAAGAGCGATGGTGGCGTCGGAGATGGTGGAGAGACGCTTGAGGACGCTTCTTAAGTGTTCGGCCAATCGCTGCATTATATGCGTCTTCTCGGTGAGTAGGGTGGTTTCGTCGGCGCGGAGAAGAGGAACATTTGCTTTGACTGTGGGACCGTATACAGCCTTGATTGCAGAGAAGAAGTTCTTTCATTCGTTGCGATTCATTAGCCTTGGATCTCCTCGGCCTTGCGAGCCGCTCAAACGTCCTGCATCTCGCGCAGCCGCTGTTGCACAAGGCGGCGACAACGGTAGAAGGCTGCTTTGTTGTCGTCGGTGGGGCAGTTGACGTTGGCTTTCTGCAAGTGATTATTCTCGACGAGTAAGTTGCTGATGGCGGCGTCGTTGTTA